TATTATCCCAGTCAATAATGTGTGTAGAATATAAATAGGGATTAGGCCCAGGAGTCATGGAAGTAAGTTTTTGGAAATTGTTGTTATAAATGGCACCATTGTAAAAACATGCTAATTACACAAGTGCATAGGTGTATAAGAAACTTCATGTGGTTCTCCTGAAGTTGGTGTAATTATTTCCATCGAAACATGTAGAGTTTTTAAAGTTTTTTTTTTAACTTTACAAATAAATTATTGTGCAAGTGAAAAACGTTGATGTCTTGTTTGATTAATTTCATTTATAATAGCATAAACACACAATATGCATTAGCAGTGTGATTGTACAGTAGTTAATCTGGTAACAAGTAGCACCATACTTTATTCAAAGACTATCTTTTCATGTTGGCACATTTATGATTTTCTTAGAAATACTTCACGAGAGAAAAATATTTTAAAAGATTTTTTTTTACACACTGTGAATTTATATAAAAGGAGAAAGATAACTAAGTTAGGTTTTAAGATAAATGTATCACAGAAATAAAACTTATTACAACTTTGATTATATATATATTATGCTGATAACAGCCAGGTTTTCATAGGAACAGAATTTCACTAGTGATTTAATACATTAGAATCAAAAAAACATTATTTGTTGTGTAAGAGCATGCTCCCCTGAAGTAGAAGTCAGAATCACATATACAAAACTTACATATACCTTCAAAACTAATTAACTGAAAAAGTAGAAGTGATCAGTTTTCTTGCCTTCAAAAAAGTTTATGAAGTACTTACTTGTAAAATCTGTCTCACTAATAAGTCAGAAGCACGCTCAGTTATGTTGCCTACAAAAACTGTTACTGGAGGACCCTTTGGTACAGACTTGTCAATGTTTACACCTGTAGTCTTAAAAATAAACATAACATTGATTTCTGGTGTGATCATAATCTAAAGCTCTTTAATAATGTAAAAGAACAATATGATTTATGATATTGATGCACTTACTTATCTTCTGATTCACAATTTAATCTTACACACACTTTTTTAAAAAATACTTTCCGATACTTAGTACTGTTGGAAGTATTTTTTCTTTAATATTTAAGCATGTTACAAAATTTTAAAAAATCTCACCAGTACAATGAATTAGTCTGATACCAATTTGTTAGTTATTTTAATTGAAACATTATTTCATTTTATTTCAACATAAAATTTAGTTTTCCAAACATAATTTTCACAAAATAAAAAATACAAATCATTCATATTAAGCTTTCAGCAAAAACAACAATTACTTATATATTATTTTACTGGTTAATTGCTATCATTCAAAGATTGCATGACAACAATTACTTATATATTATTTTCCTGGTTAATTGCTATCATTCAAAGATTACATGATGGTAGAAAAATGAATGCTAGATTCATTCTTTAGAAACAATAAAAAGTCAGCAAAAATATGATATTTGACAAACATGTAAACAAAAAAATTCATTTGAATTTTAAACTTCAAGAAATATTTAATAATGCATTAAAGAAAAAAAATACATCAAGCTTCTTATGAAAAGAAAATTATTTTTCTTGTCTAACATGTGAATGATTTAAGAATATTTTATTGCCTTACCTCTATCTTTGACACTGAATTTGTAATGTTGGTCTTCTTAATAAATGGTTTGGAGGTTGTCATTAATGGCATAGACACAGGTAAGGACATGGGAACGTGCGTCATCATCTACAATTTACAAGTTATAGTGTACGTCACAAGAAAATGAAATAAAAGAACAAAAAAAAACAGTAACAACAATATCAACATACTGCAGAATGTGAAGTTCTTGAACTGAATGTGATCCATTAAAATTCCATGGAAAAAAATAAACATCACATATTTAAAATAATGTAATTTTACAATATACAATACATCAAAAATTAGCAATGGATAATGGCTAAAAACAGTAAAAATTAACAGCCAAGTTATGAGAAAAAAACTTTTTTCTTAATGTGTTGAATGACTTCTGAAAATTGATTTGCTGCATCATTTTATTTGAGTCTACAATGTTTATGTTGATTATAAGTCACTACAAGATATCAAGACTGCATTAATAAATTCTTGATGTGCCTTTTGGTCATGCGGATATAGCCCTCCAAAAATAAGACTTCTGTAAAGATGTTCACCACTTTTTCAGAGCACTATCCATGTCCAGAAAGGACAAAATAAAGAAGTAAATCTAGATTAATTTATTTGAATGTAAGAAAGCATTATATGTAAAGTTGGGTAATTAGTAAAACTCCCCCTCCATAAATGGTGATCATCACTGAGGGGACATGGCAGGTACAGGCTTCAAAAGAAGGAGAACCATTGCATTATTCTAAGATATCCATTTTTAATTGTTTATATTTTCAGCTTTTTGTTTTGTAAGTAATTTTTGGTTCATCCTTCATTTAACCCTTTCATTACAGGCTAGGTGGAATCCACCCAGCCCATTACCAGGAAAGTATCTATGAGAGTAGCTGTACTATATATAATTTTTGAAAATGTACACAAGTCTTTACAAAATTTTGCAGATTATTAGTTTGTTTGTTTTTTAATTATGCACAAAGCTACACAAGGGCTATCTGTGCTCTGCCCACCACGAGTATCGAAACCCGGTTTCTAGCGTTGTAAGTCCGCAGACATACTGCTGTGCCACTGGGGGGCCAGATTATTAGTAAACATTACAAGGATTTCATACACAAAATATCTTGTTTTGAATGATGTTTTAAGATATTTTTTTTATTAAAGATTTCCTCGTGAATTTTTTATTTCAGAATGTTAACTATCCAACATGCAAAGTAATTTAGCTTCTAAGATTAAAAATACTTTTCTTTATCTGAAAGTTGTCAAGTTTCATTCACATAATCTCTATATCCTTCTAGATAGTAATAAAACGTTTTTTAAAATAAAACTTTATATTTAATCTGTCACTTTCTCAATATCAACTCTGTATGGTGTTGATCGATTTGACTGACTTCATAACAATCATAAAAATTAGGAAATAAATCTAAACTACCTTTTTTGTTCTAAATAAATGCAAATTGTAATAGGAAACCACAAATGTTTATTCTAAACAGCATAAATCTTGTAACTATATAAATCTATTTATATTTATCCATTTGTGTTTTATTGACCTTTAAGCCTTGTCTGACTAAAAATACCCCAACAGAAGTTGAAATTTTCACCACGCACGTGCATTGACATGACCCTATCGAATAGCGTAATACAAAAGTTTCTGGCACATATACCCCCATGAATGTTTATTACTTTTTCTTTCATTATCTTACCTAACAACTTTCTGTTTTTATGATTTTAGTTACTTTTATAACAATATACAGTTAAAACAAATTAAAAATTAAAACCTCATAATTAAATATCAAACATTTATATTTTCAGTAAAACTTTACATTTTATTTTTTGTACTGTAACCTTATATTTATTTCTCCAGGTTGTAGGTAAGTAATCAAAGTATAACGAAAATAAATGTTACAAAATAAAATGTATAGTATTGTTAATAGTGATTACAAAATTTCAAAGTATTTATGGTCAGAGTTTACTCTCTCACCTTTTCACTTATTTTCTGTAGTTTTGTGAGTTAATGAGTTAGAAATTAGAAGAAACAAAATGAATAGTACTGTTTTTTTCAGTACGGACAGTAAAGTTCCAAGTAAATCTCCTGAGAGTTTCTTCTAATCTTTTTACATCTATTTCTTATTGTTATTCTACTGTTAGCAGCTGAAGTAGAAACCTGCCAAATATAAAGCAATGAATCACCATTCCTGTTTAGGTGTTACCACACTGAGTACTTTGACATCGTCAATATCAAATAAGTTCATGTAGCACAATTCCCAGAAATTTCACTCCCTTGAAAAGACAGTGAAATAGGATATATCAACTTGTTGACAGTATAATGGTTACAACAACAACTGTCTAAAGTATTATAAAATGTTTATGACTTTGTAGAAACTACAAAGAAACTATTTGGATCGCTGCTCTGAGAACATTGGGATAGAATTTGCCGGCTTCTTTACAATACAGTGGTTGCAACAAGAATTGTCTAAAGTACTTTATAAAAGTGAGAGAAAATATTTATGATATGACTCTGTACAAAGTATAAAGTTGTATCCTATCCAATAAACTTGCTAGTTATCTTACTTGGTGGTCAGGATTTAGCATTGGTACAGGTGTAAATGTGTGTAAATGCTTACAGACATCCTGTTCCCAATATTACCATGCTTACACAGTAACCAATAAATGTGTAGTTTCCAGTACTATAAATAAGGGTCATTTTGGTTAGGCTAGTATTCTTGGCTTAGCCTTCTCGGTTTTAACTTAAGAAAAATTATTCACCAGCAAACTGCAAGTTCAACTAGATGTTTATGTAAAGATGTTCCTTTTCATGTGTTAAGATCAGTTGATCTTTGATAAATGTTTCTTAGACTTTCACAAATTACATAAATAAACTTTTCCTGAATTGCCAAGTCTTTAGTTTTGTATAATTGCTTTTTATTCTACCTCAATGTAAATGAGTAAAAAAATAACAATATTAAACTATTAAACTTTCTGATTTGTAGAGTCCAGCAGCCAGAGTGATGTTTGGGGTGACATTCAAACAAAAAGTAGCAAAAAGGCAGCAGAGCAGTAGAGAAACTGACACAAGTGTGAATGAAAAGATGGAGTATAAACAGCAATGATACTCTCAAGAGCCATTGCTAGAACTGTCATCATCACCTTTTGAATGGTGAGCAGAGAAGGTAGACAATTGTAGTTCCAAACACTGGCTAAACTGGCAAAAATATATTTACCAGTATCAATAATTTCAGTTCCAAGTGTGTGCATCTTTTCTAAAGCAGGCTTGGTTATCACTCAGCAATGAACCAACAGCCAAACTGTGCTGAACAGCTCATATAACTCAGTCATAATCTTCATAAATAACACAATGAGTACAGCTGGTGCTTTCCTAATATTCACATATTTGCATATTTTACATTATTACAAACTTTGTAAGTAGTTCCAAGTTATTTATTTACATGTATCTAAACTATGTTATGATTCTTCATAAGTTTAAATATTCAGATTGAGTATCATTAACAAACACATCAAAGTGTCAAAATGATGGTAAGACACTTTTAAAAGGCCAAAACAGTGACATGTTTTTATTTTACTAGCAAGCTTTAGAGTAAATACTGTATTTGTAAAATACTGAAGAATTATATGTTTTATTATATTTCGTTTGTAATGTAATCTATGGTTTGTCCCGAGTTATGTTACCAAAGAAGTTTTGTATAATTTATTTTATTACAATTATTTGTAAATTATTAATTTATTAAAACTTACAATTTAATAACTTTTGCATTAGAATTCTACTAAATTTTGCTATATGCATGAGAATAATAAATATTTTTCTCAATATTACCATTTAAGCTTAGAAAAACAAAAAACATAAGAAAACTGAAATTTCCTAAATTTATTTTTATATTCTATAACAAAGTCAATGAAATTTTGAACTTCTCGGGTTAGCCTAACAAAACTTCAATAGAACAAAATCAGCTCAAGGTGTCAAATTTCATGTAATTATTTATATTACCAGTAGCAGAAATAGCAAATGGCTATCACCATGATTTATTGCTACACTTTGTACCCACTAGAACAGTAATCCTCACATCAAAAGCAGTAAATCAGAGACATGAAAAGGTTAACTGTTGAAGCTAAGTTAGAACTTTATGATCAATACTTCAGTCAGTGCAGTGCAAAACATGTATTATTAATTTTGCTTAATATTTGGTAATGGTTCATATCATTGTACATTGAAAATTTCTCAACAGTTATTTAGAAGAAATACTTTATTAAAAACTTACTAGCCACACCACAATCAAAAATGCTTTGATTTCTTTGTTATAAGGAACAATACAGCCCATCCAAGTGCAACCTTGCTTTTATGTCAATGTTAGAAATATCAGTTACACTAGTCAATGAATTTCTCTTCTGGATGTGATACCTAAATAGAGGGTTGCATGTTAACCCTACCGACACAGATCTACCTATGGTCACTGGTCAAAGGACACGTCTTCGCGTTTGTAGACTCACATTCAAAATTTTATTGAACTAATATTTTATGTTTGTTATCAAATTGCAGATAATTCAAATTTTAGTATTATACATTAATTAATTTATGAGTAAATATAAAAAAAATCCTAAATATCGATTTTTGTGTGTCAAGTGATATGTTGAATGCAGCATTGGTTCACATTGGATATTTGTGATGAGTAAATACAGTCTATAGTTTATTAAAAATTAGAAACTCAAATTACCAATACTGATAAGCTATAATATAAGAACCTCCATCTTTTCTATTTACTGAATCAAATAAGGTGACTCTGCCTACCTCTTCCATTTTTTTGAAAATACTTACTTACATACACCTACTTTGCCCAATTACATGTGTATAATCCAATAAAAAGTTCAGATTGTTCCCCAGGTGGTTTTCTCAGCCTCTGTGAAGTATTTGCATGGGACACCCTTTCTTTTCATTGTAGATTCCAAGCAGTAAGGTAAGACTTTATTGAGGTTTCAAAATCTTTTTTTTTTAACCCAAATACAGCTTAGTTACTAATCCTGATAAATTATAGTGGAATTCTGTGATATTGATATAATAGTTTACAATTTTTTTCTTATTTCAAAATGTATATATAAAACCTTGAAAAAATTTTGTTTTGCATTCCTTGAGAAATTTGACAAGGCTTAGCAAAATACAGCAAACTAGTACAAAGTTCGTAACTATAAGAGAATTGTTTTCTATACTTCTTTATTTACTGTTCTATGTTATAAGAAAAATAACTGAAATTCAAGAACTTATTTGTAAATAATAATAATAATAATGTATATGCATATATAATGTATTATAACCGAAATGTTATAACAAAAATAAGTATATACATATATATGAGATTTAAGCTATTTATAATAAACATTTGTATTTTTGTGTTATAATTTGTAGTCATTCTAGAATGAAAAAAGCATAATTTATATCTATTTCCTAATTTTTTATGGTGGTTAAAAGGACAGTCAAATCAACCAAACCTGTACAGAGAAACAAGTGAAAATAACAGATAAAATAGTTTTTTTCTCATCAAAAAAGTAAACACACTTTTCTAGACCAATTTTGCACAGTTTTTTTCTTGCACATCTAGTTATCAAAATATGTAGCCCACCAATAATTATATCTCATGAAAATGATTTGTTGACCAGTGTAATTATCTGAAGGTTATAAAGATTTTACATATGAAATTTGAACATTTTTTGATGCATAAAAGTATTTTTAATCTTACAATCAAAATTACTTTGCATGTTGGCTAGTCAATGTTCAAAAAGAAAAATACATAAGAAACACATTATTTAAAAAATTTTAAAACTTAATATAAAATAATATTTTGTGTACGAAAGACATGTAATGTTTACTGATAAGCAGCAAAATTTTGCGAAGATATGTTTACTGTGTTAAAGTCATAGCATGAAAACTATAACAAGTATAAAATGGTTATGAGGGAAGTCCCTGGGACCAAGCCCATAATGAAAGAGTTAACGGCTCTGGGTTTTACAAACTGTTGATGGTTTGGAACATGCCAGTTATCCATTTCTTAAGCCCTTGATATAAGTTTCACCAAATTATGTTGCTGTACATTGATTTAGCTAAGTTTTCTTTCTTGAAAGAAATATTTTAAGTGAAAAACTTCAAAAAACATATCTTCTAACTCACAAAATAAATCTATACATGTACTTAAATTTATATTGACTGGTTTCAAAATTTAAAAGATATACTTACTGGTGCATGCATCATTCCCATTGTCATTGGAATCATCCCTCCTGAAAAAATAAAAAAAGTTCAATATACATCTTGAACTTTGTATAATTAATGAATTATGATGGAACAAAATTTTCTAAATTTTTGACAGATGAGAAATGTACATAACAGGGAAGTTCTCACCAAGTTAAAAAAGTACATGAAGTAAGACTTATGAGACAAAAAGCTTAGGCCTAGGAAAAGAAAATTTTTTTCACTTACCCAACTCACCATATTTGAAAAATGACTGAACCCTTAGCACCTTTTAGTAATGTTAAGGTCTGAGCAGAGCAATACATGCACTTAGAGCAAAACTAAAAATCAATCAATACAAAGCTAATGAAATATACTTTTCTAACATTTCTACTTAAAAATATTAGAATGCAATGTTTCATCAGTTGGGTAGTACCCTCACTGTTAACAATAATTTTGGCCATAACCCCAATAAACAATAAATCTAACTGAAAAGTAATAACATTCAATATACTAAAAAGTATAAACAACATTCTTAGCCCACTCAGTATGGACCTAACTCTACTGCACACATCACATTTCAGTTAAATCAACAACTAAATTTTCAATACATATCAATAAAATTAACATCAGAACATAGTTTAGTTTATATGTCAAATTTTTATATTAGCTGTGTTTTAATTGATTATTTTCAAAAGCAAATATCTAAAAAATATTTTAAATCTACATTATAAATTCTCTTTTAATTTCAATTTTATTGCAACCACACCAACTGACTCATCTTAAGACTCACTACACACACACAATTCAAAGGTCAAACATAAATGTTCAATGTGTAAACTTCTCCTTTTAGTGAGAATTAAATATTTTAAGCCCAAGACAGAAGCCCCAACCATCTACACTTAACCGTAAATGCAGTTGTCAAAACCAAGTGCTTTTATTTCACATACAGTCCTTTCTAAATTGGTGGCAACCATGAGCATTTGCAGAATTTAATAATGGCTTGAATGGGTAATGAAGAAAAACTTTAATATAAGTTTAACATAACAGCAAATGTACAATGTTTAGATAAGGTTTTGACCAATCCTGTTTTGAGATATGGTAGAGAAAATAACAGATAAACGATAAAGGTTTACTGAAAAAAAATATTTGAAATGCATTTAGGGATTACACAAAGGAAATTTGAAATTTTTTAGATGAGGAAAAGTATTTTTAATTTTAACATGAAAATTATTTTGCACATGGACTATTCAAAACAAATACTCAATATATTCATGGACAAAACTATTTTATTTTATTAAAAGTACTTCACTAAAAAATATGACTTTTTGCATGTGAAAGACTTGTAATATAACTGAAAGACTGCCAAATTTTGTGAAGGTATATCCAATATATAGTTATAAGTATCAAATTTATGTCAACTTTAAAACAAAAACAGAAGGTCACGTGACTCGGGTCAAATCGACCGACCCCGTGTAAGAAGAGTTAATCATATTAGTTTAAATATTAAAGAGACAGTAGTAGAATGCAGGAAGTAACAAAGAAAAATGTTTCAAAACCTACCTACTCATATACTAAACTGTAAGAAAAATCTAAAAGGAAAAGAAAAAAATTCCCTCTTTACTCTAAATTTTAAATATAGTATAATAGGAAAACATGCATGTTTTTCTTTAATTTTAGATTTTAAAAAAAATTATCTTAAAACCTGAATCTATGTTTAGTATTTAGCTGTGAAATATGTACAACTATTATATTCTTGGCACTGTATTTGCAGTTCACTGCCTTTAGCAATCAAGAGAAGAGCTTGCTTTATGGCTTTCAGCTCCATCCATGAGCTGTTTGTGAGAAGCTTAAATGCTCTAAGTCTTATGAGATGATGAACATCCAACCTTCTCTGTCATTAGCTATGGTGCAACTGACTGTATCATTATCTGTGATTGGATGCTAACAAACTGCTTTACCCTTTGATCAAATAATACATTTCCATCTAGACTGATTTTCACAGATTCTAGTGGCACCAGATGTTTTTTTGACATGTGGCTGTCAAAGATCTGATAGTACTGCTGTATAGCACCTTTCCATGCACGACTGTATCTTGGGGCATGTTTTAAGCATTCTCCTTCATGGTTGGTGTCTGCAAACTGAAAAGAAAATGACTTGAGGATGGAATGCATGGTCTTTCAGCTGCAAGGCCCTAGTGAATAATTTTGCTTGTAAGCACTCTTGGTGCTCTGTGATGCTGTGGAAGATTATAAGATGTAATAAGGTCTTTTGATTGGGGTTTCTGATGTACATCACATAATGGTAATGCATAACTTAGAATGGAGTAGATAAAACTAGAAGAGAATAAACAAGTGTCATTTTTCAGCTCTATTTCCTGCTGCAGCTTTCAGTATACTGATGCCTTTTGTAGCTCTGGTTATTACAGTGTTAATGAGACTGATAAAGTTGACTTACTAGTCAAAGGTTATCCCCAGGTACTTAAGTGTTTATTTTTAAAAAGGATGGCAGTGCGTACAAGGACAACAATGGTTTATTCTCATCAGTATGCCTGCTGAGTGTGAAGAACATGACTGTAGCTTTGGCAGGATTGATGACAATTCATATTTCCCTGTACTTCTTGTTCATCCTACTAAGGAATATTACATCATGCTTTTAACTTCAGAATTGCTAGAACCTTTGTTGTACATCAAAATGTTGTCAGCAAATGTCAGCATATATCATCTGGATGGACTGTCTAGGCAGACTCAAACTTTATGGCACATGTATTTATATTCACTTGAACAAATGCAAGTTTATTACCTTCTAGCTCTTTTAACCCGATGACCACCAGCTACCAACTTTCTTAGTAGCCAATGCAAGTCTTGCTATATTTCATACCAACAATAAAACTAGTGGATGAAATTGTTTGAAACTTCATAAGAACTTTCATAAATGCATGTAGTCTAAGAAACATA